GGAGGAAAAATGCAAAATTAGCATTGGGCTCATCTGCGGGCGCCCGGGCAACTGGCGCGGGGCGCAGCCGCGGCCGCCGGGGGGGCGGCGCGCGCTTTGCCCAGACAGAGCGGCGCGCAAGCGTGCGCGTCGCCCCCGTTGCACGGCGCCGCGACACGGCGCGCGGTCGCACATTGCGCGCCGGCCCGCTGGCCCAGAGCGCAGCAGCGGGGTCGCGCATTCGCGGCCGTGGACGGCGAGCGTGGACATCGAAGACCAAGCAGGGCAGGACGCGCTGGACGTTGACGCAGGGGAAGCAGTAAACCACATACAAACGCATAAATGCACACGGGCACGATGAAATTGATCGAGGCCGGGGCCGCCGGAGTAGCCGACAGACGCGCGCCGCGTCAGCGCGCGCATGGCCCCGGTGAGTAACTGCGCGCGACGCGCTATTAGACTGAACGCGCGCGTCGCGCGAAGTCTCCGCGGATCTCACGAACATATTCTTCGGTTGCAAAGCCAGCGCGCGCGCGTTAGTAGGGCGAACGGCCCTCCTCGGCTCTGCGTGGACCTGGCGGCCCGTCAGTTGGTGGCCGAGGGCTCTGCGAAGCTCGACCCCCTGGACTGTTGGGCGCCGACTCAGCTGCGGGCGCTTGCCGCAATCTAGCCCCAGATGAGCGGCGCGGACCGACGAGGCGCGCCCCGTTGCGAAAGGGCGCCAAGTCGTTGAGCCGGCTGGCATGACTTAAATTGAAGCACTCCTTCTGCTGGACGGCCGTCCATCAAGCGACGACCGGCTGGGCGAGTCAGGCGTTGGACTCGCGGCGGGCTGCGTGCTGGAGGCAGGTCGGGCCCGATGGTGGAAGCGCAGCTGAAAGGAGATCGGGGGCGTCGCGTGGCGGCGGCGTGGCTGAATACGTGGATGCATGTAGAGATGCACAGGAAGGCGTAAAACATTACAAACGAGCACGCGGGCTGAAACCATGGCAGCAGGCCTGGCCAGTGGACGGTCTCTCTGCGAGCCTGATCGTAGCTTGCACCCCGTGCAACATCGCCGATTCTAGCCTCATTTTTGTTGGGAAAACCAACATCGGTGCCAGCGAGCACTAGGAAAGGCGGTTGGAGATGAACCTGGCCAGGCGTTGGTGCGTTTGATAGCACCCCGCCTGCTGCGTTTGAAGGCGCACGACAGATCGCGAACGTGCCCCGGCGCGTGCAGCGCAACACGTGTTTGCGCGCGGGCGCAGCATGCCTATGCTCCCAGCGCATAAAAGAGCATGCTGCTACCCTGCGCGCGCTGAAAGACGCGCGGGTGCTGCAGGCGGGCACCGCGCTGCGCGTGTGCTGGCAGCGCTGGGGGCAAACAGTACCCCAACGTGCGTCGCGAGAGCGCTGCAGCATAGCACGCCGTGTACGCGCAGCCGCATCACTGGGTACAACTGACGCTCAGGGTGCGCTGGGCGAAATGTAATGGGTAACGTGCGCCGCGAGGCTGGCGCCACCGTGCGCCGACACTGCGCAGGCTTGCGTCCCACGAGCGGATGCTGACTGATAGGGCATCTGCCACAGACGAGACAAATGCGCACACATCTCCGTCCGAAGCTGACGAAGAGAGGGCGGGCAGGTTGCCGCGCGGACGCGCGCCTGACCGAGAAGCACAAAAAAAAACACGCAGTCTTGCGGCCACGGGCACGACAAACGTGTCAGCATGCCAGGAACGATTCACTGCGCGCATCGTGCGCCCGAGCGCCACGGCGCACAACGTGTTCCACATCGTGGGTTTTCTTGTCCAAACGCGGCTCTTTGGGTACGACCCTTTTCGGCCGGGCGTTCGGGCAGTACGACGCACGACGTCAGCAAGTGCCGGCCGAATGCCCGAACGCCGCATCCTGGAATATAAGAAGCATGGGGGATGGGTCGGGATTCGCCCGGAGGGAAAACAACGCGGAAAAACACGGCAGCTCGCAATTGCGAAGTGCGTGTTGCCGAAAATGGACGGACAAATCAATGATCAATGGGCGTGGCGTAACCGTCGTGTTGGCTACAGCTGGACGTGGTCTCTGCAACACTCGCCGAATGCGTGTCTGGCCAGCTGTTGTCCAAACTCGGGACACCAACATGCATCGGCGACATCCGCTTCGTGACGATGTTCTCCCCATGTCGCCACTCTGGCGCGCCTCCTTTTTCAGACAAATTTCGATGTCGATGCAAGCCGGGCGGCCACGATGGGTTGCCTCCTCCTCCTCGGGCCTTCGCAAAGACGAACGCCACTTTGACACTTGGGGCAGCCGCGGTAAAGCTGAAACTCTTGGCTGGGGACAAATGCTGCGGAAAGGATGCGGATGCATGAGCCAAGCCGCTCGGCGCGCGCAGCGTGCTCGCAAAAAGGAAAGCCCGCACTACTGCGCACACGACGAAGCCAAACACTGGCCAACTCGCGCGATGTAAAGAGGACGTCCCGCTGCAAATGCCGGAACAATTTCGTTGTGGTGAGGGGCCGAAGCATCACTGCCTCCCTGGGCTGACTGATCCCTGCACCGGGCTATCTGTCCCTCAAGAGACGATGTACTCACATGGTCGCATGCGTGCGTCGGCGTTAGCCCCGTCGCGCCTGAGGCTGGAGGGTTCAGGTTCAGAACAGCCACGCGCACAAACTCTTCAGGAAATCGAGGGTGCCCGCGTTGAATAGTTGGGCGGTGCACTGCGAATACGCGTCCCCATCGCACTCTGCGCAGTCCGCGGATCGGTGCTGGAGCTGGCTTATACAAGCATCGCTACCAGCTGTAGTTGCGGGTGTCAGGGGTGAGCAGTAGGAACCACAGCGAGAATGGTAACCTGAGGGATAACAGAGCGCAAACTTCTCTCACTTCAATATCAAACGCGCCGTGTGCACTCTGCGAGCCAAAACGGCAGCGGACGCGCACGCGTGCTGCGCTTCGCGTGCGGGATGGGGCAGAGAGAAGAGGGATAGAGAGAGAGAAGAGGGGGAACTAGAGAAGCAAGGTATTGACTGAATGCTGGGGGCACAAAAAAAGGCCGGCGCAAGCCAGCACAGTTTTACGAACGTGTGCTGGGGTGTTTCGCGCAAGTCCACATACAAGCAAAAACAACAACGGGCCCACAAAGAGCTGGCTCCAGAGAGCCAAGATACACAAAACTCTCTCACGTTGCAGCAAAATGGTTTTCAACGAAGCGCGCGGCATTGAACTGATCTACCTGGTTGGCGTGATCTGCATTTTGCTCACGTTTGAACTGCTGTGTTTGCTTTACCCTGCTGTGTTGCTCCTGACTTCTCTCCTGCGTTGGGGTCTCGTTTTGAATTGACCACGGCGGTCGCGTCCTCCCTTCCTCCCGCCTCCCTCCTCCTCTCTTCCCCTACCCCGGTCTCCCGCTAGTCTGCGCCTGCCTCGCCACCTCTGGGGAGGGGGGGGCGCTGCGAACTGCGACGTGGCCGCTGCTTTCGGGGGCTTCTTGGGGGAGGTGCGGAGTGGGTACGGAGCGGGGACTCCGATTAGACCTCGCCATCACTGGGGGGCGGCGAATCGTGAAACTGTCGCCACTTTCGAGGGCTGCTGGGGGCGACAGCGCAATGGGCACCGAGCGGGGACTCATATTAGACCTCGCCATCCCTTTGGGGCTGCGAACTCCCAGACTGTCGCCACTTTCAGGGGCTGCTGGGGGTGACAGCGTACTGGATACAGAGCGGGGACTCATATCAGACCTCCCCGTCTTTTGGGGGCTGCGATCTGTGAAACTGTCGCCACTGCCGAAGACTCCTGGGGTCACAGCGAAGCGGGTCCTGAGCGGGGGCTCCGACTAGACCTCTCCGTCCCCGAGAGGCGAGGGGGGGCAGCGTAGTGGGCATTGTGACGCCCTACTGGAATTCAGACTAGACCTCGCCATCCCAATGGGGGGCCTGCGAACTGCGAAGCCGTCGCCACTTTCGGGTGCTGTATGGGGGGGGGGGGGGGGGCAACGCAGTGACGCCCTATGGGCATTCAGGTCATACGTCGCTATCCCTGGGGGCTGCCGCACGGACAAGTCCAGGAAGGAAGCGATGAGGCTGGTGGGCGAATCAGGCCTCGTTCGATTCCTGCACTCATGCTGAACAGGTGGTCGCTCGGGGCACCAAGGCGACATGGCGTCGGCGTCGCTGCCCACCAACGAGCCATTTGAACAATCGTTGTCGTCCTCTTCCTCCTCCTCCCTCCTCCTCCTCCTCCTCCTCCTCCTCCTCCTCCTCCTCCTCCTCTTTGTCATTCCCCCTCCCTCCTGCTGCTCATGCGTTGACTTGCTCCCTCCCCTCTTCGTGCGTCTCCCCCTCGTTCCCGTCCTCCTCGTTCAGCCTAGGGCCAGGGCCTCGTTCCTCGTCCATATATTGGTGTCATCAGAACCGGGCAACGCGCGAGCAACCCATGTTGCGCAACATACGCCGGTTCTTGCGTCGTCCACACACATACCGATGGGGGTGAACTAATCAGGTCACGTGATGCGAACTTGTTGGATACGTCGCAAGGCAATTCTGTGCATAGTACCGATTTGCTCTGCCCTGCATCGTTGCGAACTGCTTCGTGTTACAATGGATTGATCTTATACGCTGTGCATTGCTGCTTTGCACTGTATTGCAATGTGCCGCTCTCTGCTGCTTCGCACTCCTTTCAGTTCAGCTGTTTTGAAGCGATGTGCTCTGCACTGCTCTGCATTTGAATTGTCGCGCGCTGGTCTTCATCGCGGGGAATTTCTCTAGGAAAGGGCGGGTACACTCATGGACCCCAAGAGAAGGGCCCTCAAATAACAAAATTGGGAGGCGCGATTACCGCCGGGCATCTGACTCCAAAGAGGTTCAGAATTTCAACATGCCCCGACCGGGAATAACTTCACCAAACAGCATCATAATCCACACGTCCCAGAAAGCGGAGGGATGGCGAGAAGCAACATCGGTGTGCAACGACAACTTCGCGGCTTTCTCTGAGTGGAGCCAGTCAACAAAACACATCGGCCCCCCAGTCAGGTCGAACCTGGACAAGTTCACGTACGTATCGCCGTCCGAGCGGAGGTACCACTCGCAATTGGGCTCCGTCGGATTGGCGGCCAAATAATGCCACAGGATGAGGTCCCGCACCGTCTGATGCTCGTAGCGCACGTCTATGTCGCCCGAGAGCCTGCCCACTTGTTCACGAGCAAGGGAAGCCCTACCCAGCCAGACCCAATTCAAAACTGATGACGATGACGATGACGATAAAGATGACGATGATGATGATTATGATGATGAAACTGACGATGACGATGACGATGACGATGATGATGCTGATGACGATGACGATGATGATGATGATGATGATGATGATGATGATGATGATGCTGATGCTGATGCTGATGCTGATCGCACCATTTCAGGGACGCGGCAGTCATAACGATGATTGACGATGACGCCCACGCTGTTCACGCGCAAGAAACGTACTGCCAACCAGGCTACGTTCGAGACCAACCGCTGGCCGCCAGACCTCTCCCGAGCTCCATCCTACAAGTTTCCCGAGACGCGTCTAGCCTTGTCGACAAGGGGGCTCCGCCAAGTGCACCAATGAAAGTCGAAGCGAACTTCTCAAGCGGCCGCGCAGCCCTACGTAGTGCCACTGCGCCCGAGGCCCCTGGGAGGCCTCTAGGAAGCTTCCTCTGCTGGGATCTTGTTGGCCCGGGGCTGGGACGCCCGGGGAAGCACCCGTGAAGCTATGGACGGCACTGATAGAGGCCCCCAGATCGGGCCCTCCCATGGCCTCTGGACCTCCGTGGGACCGCCAGGGCCCTGCTGGGGCTGGCTCCCTCGAGGGCGGACGAGGCGGGGACGCCGATGACGACGACGGCGAAGACGACAGAGAGGGCGAACACAAAGGTCCGGGTGTCTGAACTTTCTGTTACGTGGGGCCCCCAGAAAACTGAACGTCTTCCTGGGGACTGTTTTTTTTCATCCTGAGTCTACTTTTGTCAACCCGTCGTATTTTTGTCAACCCGTTGGAGGTCTTGGAATGGCGAGGACGAGGACGGGACGACGCAGAAGGGCGGCGCACACTGTGGGGTAGGGGGAGGGGTGAAGGCTTCTTAGAAGGGGGATGCTTCTCAAAGGTGCTGGCCCTACATCTACAGATAAGGCCCGCGCCTTCTAAGAAGACGGGGTGCTTCTTAGAAGCCTTCCCTCCTCCCCCTACCCCCTTCTGCGCGTGGCTGACGCTCCCACCTAGCGAGCGCAGACTTGCTTGGCACTTGCTTGCGCGCAATCCTGCTTCCGACGACTTGGCGAGGGGGACAGAACCACTGTCCGCGCACGGGCGGGAACGGAAATCCCCTAAAATCTGCTGAGAAGACGGGCAGACGCAAGAGCCTCAGGGCCCTCCGCGCCACAGGCGCCGGCACGCCGCCCACGTCCTCCGGCAGGAGGAAGAACACCGCCGCCCCTCGCGGGACCCTGGCCTCGCTGGCCCAAGTCCGGGCGGCGACCTGCGCCGCGTGGCGAGGCGAAAGGTGGGAGGCGGCCGTCGGGAAGAGGAGGAGGAGGCGGAAGGACGGGGGGGGGGGAACGCAGAACGGGGGGAGGGAATGGAGGGGGGGAGGGAATGATGTGCCCTTCTCCTCCTCGTCCTCCTCCTCCTCCTCCTCCTCTCCACCTCTCTCCTCCCCTCCTCCTCCTCCTCCTCCTCCTCCTCCTCCTCCTCCTCCTCCTCCTCCTCCGCCCTCCTCCTCCCCCCTCCTGAACCCTCCTCCTCCCACCTCCCGCTCCCGCTCCCCTACTCCCTCCTCCTCCTCCTCCTCCTCCTCCGCCTCCTCCTCGTCCTCCTCCTCCTCCTCCTCCCCCTCCGCCTCCGCCTCCTCCTCCTCCTCCGCCTCCGCCTCCTCCTCCGCCTCCGCCTCCGCCTCCTCCTCCGCCTCCTCCTCCTCTCCTCCGCCTCCTCCTCCGCCCTCTGCTCCTCCTTTTCCTCATCCTCCTCCTCTTCTTCCTCCTCCTCTTCTTCCTCCTCCTCCTCCGCCTCCTCTTCCACCTCCTCCTCCTCCTCCTCCTCCTCCTCCCTCCTCCCTCCTCTCCTCCTCTCCTCCTCCCTCCTCCTCCTCCTCCTCCTCCTCCTCCTCCTCCTCTGCCTCCTCTGCCTGCCCCTCCACCTCCTCCGCCTCCATCTACTCCTCCTCCTTCTCCTCCTCCTCCTCCTCCTTATCCTCCTCCCTGTCCCACACTCCTGTTGCTAGTAGTCGCAATATCAATACTGTGATGCGTCTTCTTCTTCCTAATATCAGTCGTATCCTTATTTTCGTCCTCCTCCTCTTCCTCCTCAGTCCGACGCATCAGGACGCGTGGCCAATCAGCGCGGGGAGCATGGCTGTCAGAATTGGGGGCAACATATATTACGTACTGGTGGTTCATACTCGTCGTGGGTTCGCACCGTCGAAAGTAACTCTCGCCAGCATCACGATGAGTGGGAACCTCAATGTTCTGTGTGTCCCGTTCATAAGGATGAGCATCTACACGACGAGCTGCTGGCAAACCAAACTGCCTCATGGTGGGCACGGGCCCACACTGTTCTGCTACGTTGTAACCGCTATCGCGTCCGTCAGAATGGCATTATGCAGGTCGCTGGGCTTGCCCGACTAGCTCGCAAACTTGCTCAGGACCATCCCTGCGTATTATTGGTTATCACCCCTTTCAATTGTTATAAAAAAAAAACTTGTCGTGGGCATCGTTGGGCCATATGCCCATGTATATTGATACGTTGTCCTTGGATGATCTTGGGGATCTACTCGAACACACTGATACGATCACGCAGCGTGCTCGGCGGCAAAACATGCAAGCGTCCACCCGCAAATTTCAAGATTGGATCGTGCAACCATCGTCTCGTGGTGCTGTGCATGGTTGTTTGCGCCTGCTTCCGCAGGCTGCCCACGAATTGAATCACAACGGCCAACGGTTGTTGTACCATTTCAAGGGGCATTGTTGATGGCGGGGTTTTCCATTGGCACAAATTGTGGGCACCCGAACCCATGTCTTTGGAGCATGTTCAGGACATGCGTTCGGACCATCAGGCAGGATGCTGAAGTTTAGCAACTGGTTCCCTTGTCCGTCGCTGATCTGCGGAAACGGCGCAAGAATACGAAAACTCATGCGGGTCTTGGCGTAGACCGCATGACTCCGCTTGACTTCGAGCGGCCCCCAGATCAAGGCCTCGAGGACTTAGCTAGCCTAGATTAAACCTCGAGTCCTATCTCACTTGGCCCTGGCAAATGCCGTCGGTTCTGGGCCGCTTGATTCCGAGGCAATCTTCTAATGATCGGGTAATCGGTTTGCTCATCATATGTTCTCGGTGGTGGAATGTATGCCACGACGATTTGGACAAAGACTGGGCCAGTGACACTAACCCTGAATGGGGGACGGCGATATCTGCGAACTCGCCCATGCACGGAGCGTTCACCAAAATAGTCGACGCTGAGATCGCTGCCAATTCTAGGGGCCACTTACGACCAGGCCTTACTCGACATGGGGGGTATCTTCTACGGGGCGAACTGGTTGGGTCCCGCGTTGACTACTTTGAAGCCAGGGCCCCCCTCGTCTGGGCACCCCCCCGTGCTCCTCGCGCTTGAGCTGCAGCTCTGCGTTTGCCCCCGCATCCTGCCCCAGTCAGGTGCCCACTCCCTCGCTTTCGAGCCCGCTCAAAGCACACCTCACGGTCTTCGCAGTGGCGCGCGTTTGGCCATATGCATAATCTATTTCATATGCTGCATGTAAATCATGCATTCTGCACCCGCGTATGGGCGACCGTGTATGGACTGACGATCATTCTTCAGTTCACAGGGGCTCTGCAAAACAAGTTGATCGCGATCTTAAATATGGTGTGCGTGATGTTGCGCTACTTTTTGAAAAGGAGTCCCTCACGTTGGCGCCAAAGAGTGTGGCGCTGGCGCCCAATCGCCAGATTGCTAGGGCATCGTGGCAAAGCCGATGTTGCAGACGACCCATCTCGGCACTGCTCAGGGAGATGGCAAGGGCATTCCGCGAGGCTACCACAGGACAACGCGCTGAGACGTCGTTCCAACATAACAACAAAGCTTCACCCTGGAGGCGCGCGCTCGCGCCTCGAAACAAGTCTTTGGCAACCAAGAACGTGCAACTCGCGGTCCCGCAGGCAGGGGCCAATTACTGAGTCCAAGTGCACGGTGCTTGTGGTCGCCACGCAGCCGGCCCCAGGAAGACGCCAGGTGCTGTCGCAGGCGCGTGCCAACGAGGTCAGGTCGGTGCGTGACGAGCCTCCTCGACCTCCGCGCGCCTGGCAACGACCCTGTCTTGCGGCTGCCTACCGTGTGTTCGAAGCAAGAACTGCATGAATAGCTCGCTGAGCCCTCAATCTCGCGAGGGCACCCGACGTGCTTGGCCCATCATTCACCGTGGGATGCAGGCCATCGAGCCTGCTAAGTGTGTCAAGCACTTTCGGGGGCCCATTTCGGCCATGATTCATCAAGTGATGTTGCTCGATTGGACCCCCATTTCCCCGGCCCATTTGAACGGGCCAAGCACGGACGGCGTTGAGCCCGACTTTCCATTGATCTTTCACGAAGCCGATTTCGTTGCAGTCGATCAGGCCGAAGGGCTGTTGCATGATTTCCTCTCTAGTCTCTCCTCTCTTCAGTGGCAGGCTGCGTCTCAGGCCTACTTTTGGGAGGCAATGGAGGGAAAAGTTGGTAACGGCAGCCAGCTCCTCCTTTTGCATCCGCTTCGCGACGCGTCCGACGGGCGCAAACTTGCTGAGTTGCTTCTCTCGATCGCTGTGGGGGGCTCCTGGCCCCCGGGTCGAAAGAAGGAGGTTGGCCTGCAAGAGCGCGACCGTTGCCCTCGGTGTAAGGAGGCCCCCGAGACCCCCAAGCATCGGTATTGGTTATGGCCACGTAACAACAACCGGGATATATACGAGTCGTCCGATGACGTAGTCATGCAGGCCGTCTCCCAGGGGGATGCTTGTCCTTGTTTCTGGCATGGAGGGCTCATCCCGTCGTCGTGAACCGCGGTCGAGTCCCCCGTTCTCGGGAGTGTAGGCAAGTCAGTGGCGGTGCCGATGCTGTGCTGACTGAGGGGTGCCTTGGCCGTGGGACGGATGCCAAACCAATTTATAGGTTCGGCGACGCGCGTTCGGGGGGCCCTGGCAGCCGTGATCCGCAGCTCAGGCGCGTTGCGTTGGCCGTCGTCGAATGTGTCAGTTCCCCCCCAACCTCGTCAGAACCTCCATCACTGAGCCTCTCGTGGGTAAGTCTCAGACCGTCCCGAGAGGTGAGTCGGGGGCTCTTGCAATCGCCATTCGTTTCAGCTTAGCATCAATTAGTTTCGCTTCGGACCACGATGGGTCGTTCGTGTCTGGTACGAGAAGCGTTTGTTTAAACACTTTGGAGCTCTTGCTGGCATATGGGGGGACATTGGAGGGCAATTAGAAGCGGTATAGCAATTGTAATTCCGTCTTGCATGTGCCCTCACATCGTTCTCCTCTCGCTGTCATTTAGAGAAACGGGTGATGCATGGAAACCGTCTCGTCGACGAATTGGCTGACAGTGCCACTGAGAGGGCAAGGGTACGTCAGAGTCGGAGGGCGGAAGCTTTTGTGCCTGAGGTTAAGGCAAATGAAGTGCGAAGTGCGGAAACATCTCTTGAGGTCAACCTTGGAGTCTCCCGCTGTCGAGAGACAGAACAAGCCGCTCTTGTTGCTGGTGTTGCTGCCCCGGACCCGCCTCCTCCTCATCCCCTTCTCCCGCCTGCACCGTCAATGGTGGCGGCCTTTGCCTCTCAGCATCCCGTCGGCGACTCCAACCAGTGCACGCGGTGCTACAGCACCACCACCACTGCCGCGCGGACGGCATGGCTTACCTATCCCTGTTGTCCGCTCGTTCCCGTCGGCGGTGGTTTACTCCAGCCACGTGTGGGGGATAGGGTGCACCTCAGGGGTGGGTGGGTCCACGATTCACATAGCATGGCTTATCATTCACAACTGGAAATTGGATCTATCGTTCCCGTGGCTTCTTCGGTTCGCAACAGATTCGTTCCTTGTTGCAGCCGTGTGAGCCAGGGACAATCAATATAATCGACGAGGATACCTGGACCGTTTCAGCCGGGGGGGAGGGCTTCACCAAAAGTAGAAATGTTTGAATATTGCTGCGCAATCGTTCCGAAACCGAATCGCGATCCTCCCCCCCCTCCTCCTCCTCCTCATCCTTTTCCCCCTCCTCCTCCTCCTCCTCCTCCTCCTCATTCTCCTCCGCCTCCCGCCTCCTCCTCCGCCTCCTCTTTTGCCTCCGCCTCCTCCCCCTCCTCCTGCTCTTCCGAGTCCTCCCCCCCCCCTCCTGCTCCTCCTGCTCCTCCTTCTCCTCCCCCTGCTTTTAACGTTCGACTAAGATTAGCAGCAAGTCTCGGTGCGTTTGTCCTCCTCCTGCTCCTCCTCCTCCTGCTCTGCCTCCCCCTCCTCGTCCTCCTCCCTCCTCCTCCCTTCCTCCTCCCCCCTCCTCCCTCTTTCCTCACCCTCCTCCTCCTTTTCCGTATCCTTTTCCACCTTGTCCCCCCCTCCTCCTCCTCCTCCTCCTCCTCCTCCTCCTCCTCCTCCTCCTCCTGCTCCTCCTCCTCCTCCTTCCCCTCCCCGTCCCCCTCCCCCCCCTCCTCCGCCGCCTCCTCCCCCCTCCTCTTGCTACTCCTGCTCCTCCTGCACCTCCTGCTCCACCTCCTCTTCCTCCCCCTCCTCCTCCTCCCTCCCTCTTCCATCCTCCACCTCCCCCCCTCCCTGGTGTACGTTCAACCGTTCTCTGCCGCCTGATTTTAAACTTCCAGCGGGCGACAGGGTGGGTGGGCGAGCGGGGAGGATATGGGGCAGGGCGAAGAATGAGGAGGATGAGGAGTCTCCCCAGGAGATACGGAGCATGTTGTTGGGCCTCCTAGTCTCACTGCGGTATTGGCTCCTGGGGATTTCTTGAAGCGTACCAGGCTTTGTTTTCAACATCCGATCTGATTCCTGGCATGCGGAAAAAAGCGGCGGCAACAGGCTTCTGACGATCCAGGCGCGACTTCTCATGGATCCCCGAACACGGAGATTTAGAGGAGGAGGGGAGGGGTGGTACAGCCGGGCTACCGACGTAAGGAAACATGCATGATAAAGAGGCCTCATTTTGTTCCAAATCGAGCCGCAAACATCGAAGGAACGGCTGTAACATTTGAAACACGACCGAAAGGGCTCGCCACCGCGAACGCCACAGAACGAAAGCAAATCGAAGAAACCACCGAGCCCCTTCTAACCTCGAACCGGACCTTGTGTCAACGATCTCACTGTATGCGCGTTGGTCACTCACTCGCTTTGATCGCCGTCGCCTTCAGCGGTGCGTCCGGCTCGAATGGCTGACACCCGCGGGCCCCAGAGCACGATGCTAAACACTTCTGCCGCGGGGTCTGGACGCAAGGGCTATCTTTGCCAAAGCGGGTGTCGCGAAGTTTGGCCATCTGGCCGCAGGCGGGAAACACATTTCGGCTCCCCCTTCCTGATCGTGTCGCGTGTGCCTTTTGGCCCGCACTGCCCGGCCTGAAATTTGTTTGATTCTGGTTTCGCACGGCCGATACCTCAATTGGTGACGTCGCCATGGGCTGTTGGCTCAAATTTCTAGCACGAGAAACAATGAGTCCTTCATGGAATTGAGCTGCGCACCCTGAACCATCATTGTTGAGTCTGTCCCAGCAGCCGAAAATAACTCAGATCTGGATGAGGGGGGAAGAGGGGCGGGAGGGGGGACCGGGAGGAGGGGAGGAGGGGAGGAATGATGCGGAGTGGACTGCGGAGGAGGAGAAGGAGGGAGGAGAGGGGGGTAGAGTACGCGGGGAGGACGAACAAGAAGGGGGAGGTGCTCGAAACGCAAACATCCGTGTGCGCCCCAGGGGGGGAGATGCCCTGGGCGGCATCACCCCGCCGCTCAGCCGACGAGTTCTCTGCCCGCCAAGCCGCGGACACGAGGCCAGGCCGCCCTCGCGGCCACGTCAGCCCCCCGGCGGGGGGGGGGGGGCAGGGAGTCCGAGCTGCTGCGGAGTAACCAACGCCTCTGCACGCTTCGGGGTACAGCGCGAGCTGGAGCCCCGCGCCCCCCTTCTTCCGACCCCATCTACTCCGACCCCATCTACCGAGCAGCCATAACTGGGGCAGCTGTGGTCCTTACCCCCCTGGGGGAACCCATCGCATCGACGATCTCTCGAGAGGGGTGTCGAAATCGATGGGTCCCCCAGGGGGGTAGGGACCACAGCTCCCCCAGCTGTGCCTGGCCAGATCTATGAGGCCTAGGAGTCTTAGCGCCACTTCGTTCCGTACCCGTGCCGATCTCCCCGAGCCCTGGAGGCCTCCGCCTGCCTCATGTAGACACTGGGCCCGGCCGGGTCTGGCCAGATCTAGGAGGCCTAGGAGTCTTAGCGCCACTTCGTTCCGTACCCGTGCCGATCTCCCCGAGCCCTGGAGGCCTCCGCCTGCCTCATGTAGACACTGGGCCCGGCCCGGTCTGGCCAAATCTAGGAGGCCTAGAGTCTTAGCGCCACTTCCTTCCGTACCCGTGCCGATCTCCCCGATCGGGTCGGGCGAAATGGGGGGATAGCAAAGGGGGGGTTTGAGAATCAGCTCACGTAGCTGATTTTCCCGGCGCCTCCCGGCGCCGGAGGCGGCTATGTATCGAGGAATGGGCCCCTCGGTGAGGCCGGAACCAGCTGCATGCAGCAAATTTCGTAACCCCCCCTTCCCCAATCCCCCCCTTTCGTCCGGCCCGACCCGAGCCCTGGAGACCTCCGCCTGCCTCATGTAGACACGGGGCCCGGCCGGCACGGGCATCACGACGCACAGCTGGTGGTGCTCCCCGCGCAGGCCGGGCGGCGCCCGCACCGCGCGGCTGCCCCGGGCCCGCGACAGCACCTCCTGCCAGGGGCGAGCAGGCGGGCCTCTCCTCCCCCCTGCCCCTGCTCCTGTGGATATGGGTGTCTTCGATTCCTGAGAGGGGGTCCCAACGCTTCCGTGCCCACCGCTCGCTGCGGTGTTCGGAAGTGTGTTGCCCAGGCGGTGGATGCTTTACACATTCCGGCCTTGCAAAGACGGGGGATGTTGGCGGCAAGACGGGACGACGGCGAAGAGTGGGCCCGAAAAAAACGCGAAGGGAAGGAATGGACCGCGAAACGGGACGACAGCCCACGCAGCACCTCCTCTCAGGGCGAAGTTTGGGTGTGGGGTGGAGAGGACGGCGATGGTGCCAAGACGACGAAGAGGTATTGCGCATCGACACGACGACGGCCTTCCGCGCTGACCTGCACTCATCACGATACCATGATGAAAACGTACACATAAGAAACAAAAAGGGGCTTCCCTGGCCAAAACGAGCCAAGGCAACGAAGAGGCTCTACGACAAAAATCAAAGAAGAGGCTGGAAAACCCGGGTCCTTCCTGAACCTAACGCGGTCTTCATTTCGGGCATCACTAATATAGGCAAGACAGGGACGCAACAGCGCATCGGAAAATGAGGCGCACATTAGCGAACTTGCGCGGGCAGCTTGCGCGCGAATGTCCGCGCAATCGGTCCGAACTTCTACATCCGTCGCTTGCGGTCCAGTAGCATGCAGGCTCGTATTCTAATATCAAGAAGCTAAAACAAACCATGTCCAAAAAGTGCGAGCTTTGTGTTCGTGAGAACCCTGCTGCACGGACCTGCGGTCCAAGTCAAACTCGCGCGGCCTAACGTGGAACATTGTGAAACTTCATATAATAGTCCTGAACCGCGCAAAATCAGACAACGTTCCTGTGTGTACCACATTCGTCCTTTCCTCCTCGCGCTCCATGCAGGGGCGCCCTTTGTGAACCCTTACTGGTGAAACCACAAGAGGGGTCTTAAGGACGAGGCATGGGAGGGAGCGAGGACGACGTTTTTTTGCTTCACAAGTCGCGTCGGGAATCGTACCGGGCTCTCCGCTAAAACTGAAAAGAAAATCACGGCCGACATGGCTGCACAAGCGATGCACGCGCTACCTTCTCAAACCCGAGAGGAAGGGGGACAAAGGCGAAAAGGCATACAGCGAAACTCTTTCCAATGGTTTTGGCAAGGACCCATCCGAGGCCGGCGCTCCCGAAGACCCTCCTGGGCTAAGAAAGAAAAGGGGGATAACACTACGGGTACTGAACTTCAAATCCCGGTTCAAGGCGCGGTCGGTAACGCTCGGGCGAGAAGATCCTGCACGGTCGCATTTCCTCAGGCACGATCGGCCTTTGAGAGGGAGTCCGGCGCCATTCCCCCGCGAGGTGCCCACCTTACCTGACAGCCAATCGAAGCGAGACCGTCTCGAACCACCGCCAACTGTACGGCGTTTCCCCTGTTGGTCAGGGACCCCGCGATGTGTTTTCATTACTTTGAAAAAGGTCAGACATACTATTAGCGCCCACTACGGACACGGACGACATCTCCTCGCGCAATCATTCGATGACACAACTGGGAACAGCGCCGGCCCACGCGCCAGTCCGGCTTGGACATATCATTCAGCAACAGAGCTCTCCACAAAACATGGGAACGTGGCGCATCAGCATCGACTGCGGAGAGGGGCGAAGTCTCCGCAGCTCCTGAAATCTCCAGGAACTGGAAGAAACCGCTGCGCGTCTACAGGGCCTGACGTCGTGACCCGAAGCCGCAACCAAAAGCACCCTCCGGGCCCCCTGCCCCCCCCCCTCCTCCTCGCGGGCCCGGGGTGCAACGTGCCACGACGTAATATTCTGAGGCGCGGCGCTCTCCAGATGTCTACAAATCTGATGCGGAGGAGAGCGTCTTCTTCTGCAGGGGACAGCAAAGCTGCACTTTGGAGGGAGGCCCTACGGAGACAACGGGGCGCGCCACCCTCGCTACCCACTATATAAGGCCAGTTCGGGGGCCAACCGACCCGGGCCAATCCAAAACTGAGCCATGGCCAACGCAACTCTGGCTCTGCGGGGTCCTTCAGGATCCGGCGCTCTGACTGCCCCCCATTTGCACTGACCCCCGTCTCTTCGGCCCCAAGCAATCATGGCGCGGCAAGACCGGGCCTGGGCTGGCGTCAGCAGGGAGGAAAGAGTAGACTCGCGATGCGCACCGATACCCGTCGGGGCAAGCTGTTCAAACATGCAGCCTCTCGATCGACCAAGATCTGGGCCCGGCTCGCATAATTAGTGCACCCGCCAGCACAGTCGCCCCCCCTTCCTGCCACTTTCCCCGAAGCAGGACTCGTCGGGCTGAGCGGACAGAACGAGGTCATCGACCTCAATGACAGTCCAATGACAATGATGGCACGCGGGCCCCTCCTAGTCTGGACATCTGGACCCGCGGGCACGGTTCCAACGCGGACTTTCCAAGTGCCCTCAGATGCGAGCCACAGAATGGGAGCTCGATGCCAAAGGAAGGGGCTTCGCCCAGTCTCTATTCTGGCGACGCGAAATCAATCGACTCTCCTGGGTTGAGACGCAAGTCCTGACAAGGCTCGCAGGCGATGGTCTCATCGAGGCCTCTCCTGTTTCTTTGACTGACAAAAACGAGTGTTCAGGGACAGCGCGAGAGAAGCAATGGCATGGAGGGCCAGCATGATGCTTTCTCCTTGCAGGGCGGGGGCTCGCATATTGGATCCCTGGGCGCGCCCGCGCGACTTCGCGAGGAGGAGGGAACCAAACCCCTCGCGGCTGGCAACGTCTGACCATCCTAGCACAGAGGGCATGGTCGGGACATCCGCGGCGCACCCATCGCGGCCCGTCGGCCGGGGCACCATTGCCCGCAATTCCGCCCCATCAGGAAAATCATGCACTGTGCGCTACTCCAGGGAGGGCTGCTTGATCGAGATTTCGGCTCCTCGAGGAGCCTGGTCTGGGGGTCGCGGTCGGCGCCCCTCCCAGAAATCGGCTGCAAACCCGTGACAGGACTCGCTTTATCCAAGAGTTTCTCCTCGCGCACCACGCCTGGATCACCCTTTGCTCAGCCGGCCTGCGCGTCTGGATCCGAACTAAGGAGGCGCCCGCGCGCCCCTCGCCAGGGTTGGCCGAAATAGAATGTTTCGAGGAAGAACGGGGCGAGATCTGGGGAGCTCCTCAGAAGATGGGGGAATGCCGGAATCGGACTGGGGAGCCGAAGGGGGGCGACTCGGGGGCCAACGAAAATATAGAAGTCATGCGCAAGACGGATCTTGTCTGGCGCTCTGGACGTGATCTGCTCGCGCTCCGAGGCCATCGGCCGCGCCGGATGGGGAGCGGCGATGCGCCGGGCCCTCGTGAGACAGCTGGCGCAATCGACCCGTCGGAGCAGGGGGGGCCAGGGGGGCGCGGCGGACACTTCTCCATCGTCTGAAATCACCCGGGAATGCCTCGGAGGATCGGAGGCGACAGGCTCGGGGAGAGCGCAGGCCGCGCGCTGGAGCTGAGCGGGGGCAAGATTCGTCGGATGAGCGGGCTCGAAACACAGCCCCTCGGGCGCGCCCCGCGCGCCGCGCCGCGGGGCGGGGCTGCCGGTCTCGGCCAGGTCGGCCGAGGTGGCCCGCCCGGCCAAGCCCCGGGGATCTTCTCACCCGGGGCGTAGAGCATTGGCCTATCTAGAAGCTCGGCGCCCCGCGCCCCCTCTTTGGTGGCCCAGCGAAACGGTTCCGATCTGCACTTTGTGAGCTTGTTTCCTCTTATACCAATCGCGGCCCATGGACGGCATTTTTCTGCGTCGCGCAAGAACGCTCGCGGGCGATGAACCGCAGCCGCGCATCAATCCGCGAGCCCAGGGCGAAAATCTGTCCAGCGTGTTTTCGAAACTGTCCCGAGGCCCCGCCCGCCCGCGCCCTGTCTCCCCCATCAGGGCTTCGCGCGCCCCGCCTAGCTCTTAACCGGAAGGGGCCCGCCCCCGACCCGCCGACCCAACAAGTTGCCGAAACTGCGCGGGGTGCTTCATTCTCTCTCGGACATCGACGGCCGCGACTGCTCGCCCGGCTGTCTGCGCTTGAAGCGTCGAGCTTGAAGCGACGCCCGCTGCGTCGCAATCGGCGGCGCTTCGCGCCGCGTCGCCCACGCCGACCCCGCTGGGGGAATCGCCGTGAGAGTAGGAAGTGAGGCAACCTGAGATTTTAACGTCACCGAGCCTGCGCGGGGGAAATCTGAATCGCGGGCGAACTGGTTCTGGCGGCCACCACTTGGGCCGCGAGACCCTCGACCTCCTCGAGAACCGCCCGGGGGAATTCAAGGGCCGCCATTGGGAAATCCAATGTTTATCCGCCTCCCGTGGTGCTCGCAACGTCCGTTCTGGCGCGGGCTCTCGCTGTCGCGGACGCGCTGGCACAGCGTTCCAGATTGCCCGGGGGCGCGGGTGAACTCGCCCAGAAACGGTGGGCCTCCATCCGCCATCCCGTTTTCGGGGGCCCTGAATGCAGACAAAAAACGCCGGCGGAAGCGCTTCCTTCGCCAGCGCGCAGGTGAATCGTCGGCGCCATGATCCACGGCGCCAAGAACGGGACAGCTGATGCCCAACATGTCCACGTAAAAGATCCATGGCCACGGATTTGCTGAATCGCCGCGCCCACGGCAAATGCGCTCCGCGAGGCCGCCCGGGCCGAGAGCGCGACTGGCAGGTCGAGGAAATTACAACTGTCTGGCCCAAGCCGAGAACTTGGACACCAAGGGGCGGCCCCGACGTCTGGCGCCCAGCTGACGCGGGAGGCCCTCTAAGTTCTGCGCCCCCGAGGACCCCGCCTCCGCTGCTGCTGTCTCCGAGGGGCCCTTCCTCCGAGGCCCGGGCCTCTATCTAAGTCCGCGGCCTTCTGTCGCTTAAATGCCTCTGCGAGGCCGCCGGGCGTCGCGCGCGC